TAAATAAATTTGTGTACATCTGTTCATACTGATGTAGCTACTGATATAATCTGTGTCTGGAGGGGTCTTGCTCGGGTTGCCATGGGGTGCCATGAGACTCCCCGGCAGCCTTATAAGGGTGCTAGTGTTGTACATGGCAACTCCTTAGTAATCTGCACCGATTCCTGGCCATGATGGGCACATCGGCTCCCGGCTCCGATTTCAATCTGCCAGCATTGCTGATCTCGCAGTGCTCCCGCGGTGACATTTTCGGAGGGCACAATAGCACAACATCAATCACAGCTGGGGAACAAACAACAGCAGCTCCACGCAAAGGCAAAAGGTCGGGGCAGGCGTAGACGTAAGAAAATGCCCTCTCCAGCTGTGGGGGGAGCCGCCCCCCCCACCCATGCAGTGCCCTCTCCTTTGTGCATGGAATGTGTTCCAATTTGTATAGTCCCTCTCAATCTTTCTCTTTGATGCCTGTCAGCTTTCCTACTATCCTTCTCAAAAGAGACAGCAGCAGCTGTCAGATTTTTTGGGAGGGGGGAATCAGCTTGTAGAATCACAGCATTCTAGAGTTGGAAGGGACCCCTGAGGGTCATCTAGTCCAACCCGCTACAATGCGAGAACCACAGCTAAAAGTATCCCTGACAGATGGCCACCCAACCTTCGCTTAAAAACCTCCAAGAGAGGAGAGTCCATCACCTCCCAAGGGAGTTCACTCCTCTGTCTAACAGCACTTGTCACCAGAAGGTTCTTCCTAATGCTTGTCTGAAATCTCCTTCCTCGTCATTTGAAACCACTGGGTTCAGGTCCTTCCCTGTGGAGTAGCAGGAAGCAAGCCTCCTCCGTCCAACAGCCTTTCAGATATTTGAAGATGGCTATCAACGCGGGTGGCGCTGTGGGTTAAACCACAGAGCCTAGGGCTTGCCAGTCAGAAGGTTGGCGGTTCGAATCCCCGCAATGACGGGGTGAGCTCCCGTTGCTCTGCCCCTGCTCCTGCCCACCTAGCAGTTCGAAAGCACGTCAAAGTGCAAGTAGATAAATGGGTACTGCTCTGGCGGGAAGGTAAACGGCGTTTCTGTGTGCTGCTCTGGTTCGCCAGAAGCGGCTTAGTCATGCTGGCCACATGACCCGGAAGCTGTATGCCAGCTCCCTCGGCCAATAAAGCGAGATGAGTGCCGCAACCCCAGAGTCGGCCACGACTGGACCTAATGGTCAGAGGTCCCTTTACCTTTATCAGGTCCCCTCTCTGTCTTCACATACACCCTCAATAAGGCTCAGTTTCCAGACCCCTGATCATCTTGGTCGCCCTCCTCTGCCCACCTTCCAGCTTGTCAATATCCTTCTTCAACTGGGGTTCCCAGAAGTAAACACAGGATTCCAGGTGGCATCTGAGCAAGGCAGAATAGAGCGGGGCTCTTATTGTCCTTGACCTTGAACCTGTTGAAGTTCCCATGGGCAGCTTAAGAGTATAAGAATAGCTTGCTGGGTCAGACCAATGGCCCAACTAGTCCAGCATCCTGTTCTCACAGGGGCCCCCAGGGGCCCCAATGGGGAAGCGAGCAGTAGCTCAAGAGCATCTCTCCTCTCCTGGGGCTTCCAGAAGGTGGTAATCCTCTTGTAAAGCCATCACTGACCCCTGCAGAAGCGAGTCACACAGTTTGACCCAGTACTGTGTAAAGAAGCATTTCATTTTATCTCCCCTAAATCTTCAGCTACATTGGATGTCCATGAAAGAGAGAGAGAGAGAGAGAGAGAGAGAGAGAGAGAGAGAGCAGTCCTGGATTTACGTATAAGCGAAACAAGCTCTAGCTTAGGGCCCCACTCCCTTGGGGGCCCTAAAAAAAATTAAAGGGAAAAAAACCTGTATGTACATTTCCAAAATATAAGATTTATAAGATATAAAATCTATATTAGGGGTCAGCAACCTTCCCCAGCCGTGGGCCAGTCCACCGTCCCTCAGACCTTGGGGGGGGGGCCGTGACCACATTGGGGGGGGGGAATGAACAAATTCCTATGCCGCACAAATAACCCAGAGATGCATTTTAAATAAAAGGACACATTCTACTCAAGTCATAACACGCTGGTTCCCGGACAGTCTGCGGGCCGGATTTAGAAGGTGAATGGGCCCTGGCCCCTGGGCCTTAGTTTGCCTACTCCTGATCTATATGGTTTACTCATTTCTATATATAGGTTGCTGACATTCTCCATGCATTTCAGTTCAACAATTACTTTAATAAAATACATATTTTGTTATGTGCAAATGGCCTGAGATACCTATTAGACCCGTGAATTATCATATAGCATATATTCAACACAAGAAACAGTGACAATTTGGTTTTGACAAAGGACAGCTAGACATGTAAAGGGCCCCGTTACCTTCAGCAACTTAGGGCCTCATCAAACCTAAGTCCGGCCCTGAGAGAGAGAGAGAAGAGAAGATCCCAACTGGTGATCTGGGTCACTTGACCTTTGCTGCAGTACCCTGTCTGGCCATCGGTCGTGGGGGCGCTGCAGTCTGGGTTCTCCCAGGTCTCAGAATCACAGTCCGCTCTAGAAGCAATTTCCCTCCTGTCCAAGAAAACACAGATATCATTGATGTGCTCAAAGCCATTGAATGTTGCTTCCCAGACTGGATCCAGCCAAGTCTTCCCACCCATTGTGCCTGCTGGTTTCAGTAGAAGCCCCTTGAGAGATATTTTTGTCCCGTACTCTATTAAACCATTCTGCAATCCTTTAAGCAGGGCAGGAAAGAGAGCGCCCTCTCTGCCCTCTTGTGGGTCAGAGTGAGGCCACCTCTGAAAAGCCGATCTCCATTAGCGCACTTTGCCTGCGTTAGTCCATTCCTTGCAAAATGGTGGCTTTTTTTTTTACCTTTAATATCAGTAATTTAGATAGCTGGCATTCAAGGGTTTGGCAAATTGCCCCTTTTGAAAATATATCTCAATGACTAAATGTCTCCAGAGAGCAGGGCTTGAACGACTGGGTTTTTCTTTTTTAATGGCATGGATTCATTTCTTATACAGTAGCAAAATGAGGCACACGGTCACTCAGTGTCCATAGCAGAAGCAAATGCCTGGCTCATTTCAGACCACATAGAACCTTTATTCACAATAATGAACTCACAGGTGGATAATGCTTCCATTTTTATATTTCTTTATTCTTTGAGAAGGGAATCCTTGTACAAGTTAATACTCTATGCTGCGCACTGTCTTTCGACTTTTGTCCTTCCCAGCTCTGACGCTTTATGGCTGAAATGTCTGATTCTTTGTTTTCTTTCTTTTTGATAGGTTTTTGTTGTTAACAAATCAAGATTTTTTCAAAGATCGTTTTGCTAGGGATCTGCATGCGCACCTTCAGCATCTCAAAGCAGGGATGCTCTCCTCCAGTCACTCCCCAGCTAAATAGTGACTCCTAGTGCAGAGAGGAAGAGGACAGCAGAAAAGACAGCGCTACACTCCAAATATTTAAATAATAATAATAATAATTTTATTATTTATACCCTGCCCATTTGGCTGGGTTTCCCCAGCCACTCTGGGCGAATCCCAACAGAATATTAAAAACACGATAAAACATCAAACATTAAAAATTTCCCTAAACAGTGCTGCCTTCAGATGTCTTCTAAAAGTCAGATAGTTGTTTATTTCCTTGACATCTGATGGGAGGGCGTTCCATGTGGCAGGCGCCACCACAGAGAAGGCCCTCTGCCTGGTTCCCTGTAACCTCACTTCTCGCAGGGAGGGAACCGCCAGAAGGTCTTCGGAGCTGGACCTCAGTGTCCGGGCTGAAAGATGGGGGTGGAGACGCTCCTTCAGATATACTGGACCGAGGCCGTTTAGGGCTTTCGAGGTCAACACCAATACTTTGAATTGTGCTCGGAAATGTACTGGGAGCCAGTGTAGGTCTTTCAAGACCAGTGTTATGTGGTCTCAGCAGCCACTCCCAGTCACCAGTCTAGCTGCCGCATTCTGGATTAGTTGTAGTTTCCGGGTCACCTTCAAAGGTAGCCCCACATAGAGTGCATTGCAGTAGTCCAAGCGGGAGATAACCAGAGCATGCACCACTCTGGTGAGACAGTCTGTGGTCAGGGAGGGTCTCAGCCAGTGTACCAGATGGAGGTGGGAGACAGCTGCCCTGGACACAGAATAAAGTGTGCCCGCCCCCAACAATCTTGGGAACTGTAGCACTGGTGGGTAAACTAGAGTTCCCATTATTCTTTGCAGGGCTGTTTTAAATGTATGGCATGTGTGCAGCCAATATGGTGCAGAGAACCTGGGAGTCCAGAGTTCAAATCCTCCCACTTGGCCATGCATCTCACTGGGTGGGCCAGTCATGGCTTTGCCGCCTCGCCTACCTCACAGAGCTGTTGTGGGTGTTAAATGAGGATGGAGGGGGGCGGGGAAGGATCACACACACTGCCTTGAGCTCCCTGGAGGAAAGACGAAATATGAGCGCAATGCATCAACAAACCCCAAACCCAGCAAAGTGACAGATCTGTTTCTACTCTCTATCATTGTGGGTTGGCTTGGCTGTTTCTCCTGGTCCTCTGTGATCCCACCTCTCAGTCCCTGGTTCATCGCTGGCAGATGCTAACCGAGAGAGTTAGCATTATGGACTCACAAATTTTTATGTTGCCACTGGTAAAACGCCCGTAAGAATCTCGTGTGCTGCTGCGACAGCATCAATCACACTCTCTGTGGCTGAAATGCCACAGTCAGTGAGAGGATCTCTGGTAGAAGCCAAAGATGCTGATTTGGGGACATTGTGTGCAAAGAGAAATAAAGCCGGACCGAACAGCAATCCTCTGCCCCTTTCTTTTTTAGTTCCTGCAGGTTCTCGGTGCTTATAAACTAGAGAGGGGAAAAAGAAAAGGAGAAATAAGAAGTCAGTACCGGAAAATGAAAAGTAATAACTGTCCTTGGCAAGCTAGAGGCAGGCAGAGGTTGTTCCTTGGTTTCTGATTCGTAATTCCAAGCCGAACCTCAGTCATGTTTAGGGATGGAGGAGAAATTCAAGGGCCATAGCGCAGCGGCAGAGCATTCGCCTTGCATGCAAAATGGTTCTGGGTTCAGTCCCCAACGGCATCTGCGAGAGACTCTCTATCTGAAACTGTGTGAAGCTGCTACCAGTCAGCGCAGGCACTACTGAGTTAGATGGGGCAGCAGGTCTGGCTCCGCATAGGGCAGCTTCCACTGTTTTGAGTTTGCATTTGCTAAATACAATAGTTTTATTTCATTTATTTGTTCCCTGCATGGAAGTGGAGATTGTGGTTAATACAGTGTAATTCTGTCCATCAGGGCTAGGGGGATCTGTGATGGGAGTGTCTCTGGTGACATTTTGTAACAGTTTCCTTTTAGAGGGGAATGTTGTGCTTTGGGATCAAACCGCGGGGTGGCCTTTCTGTGGACAGCAGGATTCAGCAAGAGGTTGTCATCCACTTGTGGGGACTGATAACAAGGCCCCGAACCAGTGTTGGCAACACTGATGAACTCAGATCCGCTTCTGGGACAGCTGGCTGAGCGTCACAGCAAGGGACTGGGCAAACACTCCATCATATTTGGATAAGCAATTTCGTATTTACCCACTGCCTTGCAGGACATCTTCTGGAGAGGAAAGGCCAAGGAATAAAATCAACATAAATGCAGAGCGGGTCCCTGAGACTTGATTCTGTACTTGATTCTGACTATGCCTCCTGATGCATATTGTGCTCAAAGAAGTCTGGTTTGGTACAGTGGTACCTCGGTTTACGAAAAGTCCTGTTTGCGAAAGATTTGGTTTAGTAGTGTCCCGGTTTGCAAACTTTACCTCAGTCTAAGAACGGAATCCGAACGGTGGAAGGGCACCAGCGGTGGGAGGCCTCATCAGGGAGAGCATGCCTCGGTTTAAGAATGGTTTTGGTTTAAGAACGGACTTCTGAAATGGATTAAGTCCATAAAACCAAGTACCACAGTACAGTCAAACCTCAGCTGTAGAACGTAATCCATTCCAGAATACCGTTCGACTTCTGAAACGTTTGACAACCGAAAACTGAAAGCGGAAGCCTTGATACAATAGGGAATCTCAAAACGGAAGCCGTTCGGTTTCCAAAAATTGTTCGGAAACTGGAGCAGTTATTTCTGGGTTTTCAGCTTTGGGAATCAAGTCATGACTGTATACACTTCCAGGTAAAGGTAAAGGGACCCCTGACTGTTAAGTCCAGTCATGGACGACTCTGGGGTTCCAGCGCTCATCTCACTTTATTGGCCGAAGGAGCCGGCGTACAACTTCCGGGTCATGTGGCCAGCATGACTAAGCCGCTTCTGGCGAACCAGAGCAGCGCACGGAAACACCGTTTACTTTCCCGCCAGAGCGGTAACCTTCTGATCGGCAAGTCCTAGGCTCTGTGGTTTAACCCACAGCGCCACTCACGTTCCGTGTTCTTCTGATTAAAGTTAAAGGTAAAGGGACCCCTGACCATTAGGTCCAGTTGTGGCTGACTCTGGGGATGCGGCGCTCATTTCGCTTTATTGGCCGAGGGAGCCGGCGTACAGCTTCCGGGTCATGTGGCCAGCATGACTAAGCCGCTTCTGGCAAACCAGAGCAGCGCACGGAAATGCCATTCACCTTCCCACCACAGCAGTACCTATTTATCTACTTGCACTTTGACGTGTTTTCGAACTGCTAGGTTGGCAGGAGGAGGGACCAAGCAACAGGAGCTCACCCCGTCACAGGGATTTGAACCGCCGACCTTCTGATCGATAACCCTAGGCTCAGTGGTTTAGACCACAGCGCCACCCACGTCCCATACACTTCCAGACTTAACGCTAAATACATTCCTTCTGGCCAATGAGCCACCACAGCTGCTGGAGGGCTGTGAAAATGTGTGTCCCAGGCTTTTTAGACTTGTCTTCCGATGTACTATGTGAAAGCAAAGAGATGCATTGGTTGCCAGATCAGAAATATCTTGGCTTTGTTTTAAGCTCTCCCATCCCATTATAGTCACTGCTTCTCAGGCTAACCTATCTCTCTTTTTTTTAAAAAAAATAGTATTTATTAGGGTTTTAAGTTTACAAAAAGGCAAAAGAAAACACACTAAATTAAACAATGACAAAACAACACATCACAAAACATAAAGATAGAAACAATTAAAAACAAAAAAACAAAAAAACAAATCAAACCTTCCCATAACTTATCTTTCATTTGCTTGTTTCCCTGACCTCCTTACACCTCCCTTTTTTGTATTCTAAGTCAATTATCCATTTCAGCAAATCCTTTCCCTCTTCAAAATTTTTATCCTGAAAATTTATCTTGATCTTAATATAAATTTACTTTCCCTCTTTTCACCAATTAACAGTCTATTTTTCTTAAATATTTGTTACATTTTTGCTAAAATCACATAGATTCATTCCAACATCATTCTAACATTCATTAATTTTACAATGTTTCTGTAAATAGTCTTTAAATTTCTTCCAATCTTCCTCCACCAACTCTTCTCCCTGGTCTCGGATTCTGCCAGTCATTTCCGCCAGTTCCATATAGTCTATCACCTTCATCTGCCATTCTTCCAGAGTGGGTAGATCTTGTGTCTTCCAATACTTTGCAATAAGTATTCTTGCTGCTGTTGTGGCATACATAAAGAAAGTTCTGTCCTTCTTTGGCACCAATTGGCCGACCATGCCCAGGAGAAAGGCCTCTGGTTTCTTCAGAAAGGTATATTTAAATACCTTTTTCATTTCGTTATAGATCATCTCCCAGAAAGCCTTAATCATTGGGCATGTCCACCAAAGGTGAAAGAATGTACCTTCTGTCTCTTTACATTTCCAACATTTATTATCGGGCAAGTGATAAATTTTCGCAAGCTTGACTGGTGTCATGTACCACCTGTATATCATTTTCATTATATTCTCTCTTAAGGCATTACATGCCGTGAACTTCATACCTGTGGTCCATAACTGTTCCCAGTCAGCCATCATAATGTTATGTCCAACATCCTGTGCCCATTTAATCATAACAGATTTCACCGTTTCACCCTGAGTATTCCATTTCAACAGCAAATTATACATTCTTGACAAATTCTTAATTTTTGAATCTAACAGTTCTGTTTCCAATTTTGATTTTTCCACCTGGAAGCCAATTTTTTTATCCAAATTATATGCCTCCATTATCTGATAATAATGAAGCCAATCTCGCACTCTGTCCTTTAATTTTTCAAACTCTGCAGTTTTAATCTATCTCCCTCTTGTTCCAAAATTTCCCAATATTTCGGCCATTTAGCCTCCATATCGAGCTTTTTCTGAGCCTTCGCTTCCATTGGTGACAGCCACCTTGGGGTTTTATTCTCAAGCAAATCCTTATATCTTATCCAAACATTAAACAGTGCTTTTCTGACAATATGGTTTTTAAACGCTTTATGTGCTTTGACCTTATCATACCACAGATATGCATGCCACCCAAAAACATTATTAAAACCTTCTAAGTCCAACACATCAGTGTTCTCAAGAAGCATCCATTCTCTCAACCAGCAAAAAGCGGCTGATTCATAATAGAGTTTTAAGTCTGGCAGGGCAAATCTGTCTCTTTCCTTAGCGTCAGTTAATATCTTAAATTTTATTCGAGGTTTCTTGCCCTGCCAGACAAATCTAGAGATATCTCTCTGCCACTTCTTGAAACACTCCATTTTATCTAATATTTGCAATGTTTGAAACAAAAACAACATCCTCAGGCTAACCTATCTCACAGGGTCGTTGTGGGGATTAAATTGGTGAACCATGGACTCCACCTGGAGCTTCTTGGTGGAAAAAGCGGGATAGACATGCAATAAATGAATAATTCTTAAAACTAATAAAGAATGCATGGGTCTTTGAACCGGCAGGGCAGTTCCTCCTGTGCTAAAGCTCCTGCTGTTTTCCCCTTTCTCCCAGGATGCCTTGCTGAGCCTGGGCTCTGTCATTGATGTCTCCAGCCTCCGGGAAGTCATCAAAGATGCCATCGCCTCGGTGCTCCCCAAAGTGGTAAGTAGAGCAGTCAGTTTTTTATTTTAGGAGGGGGCTGGCCTGAGGACAGGCAGCTTCTTTCCCCTTCCAGATTAATCTGTGCAGCTGAAATGGCCAGAGGGCGGAGGGGGCTCCCTTTTGACAGAAACTGAGTTTTCAGGTGTAGAGGGCCAGGAGGCCAGCTGGCAAGCCCCAGCTGTGCCGTCTCCTTCCATCGGCCCATGCTCCGACGTAAATCAGTGACCCGGGCTTCAAAGCCAGGGCATGCTATTAGCAGAGAGAACTGCGCACACAGAATAGGCGTGAGGCTTGTGGAAGAATACTACAACTACAGATTTATTAATCATAAATCAGGACAAAGAAACATGTCATCTCTCTCTTATGTTGTCTCAGAGAGAACGGGAAAAGCAAAAGCTATACACAATGGAAGTTCCCAGCATACTGTGCTGGAATGTAAACAGACATGTGACATGTAACAATTCCACATGTCTGTTCCTTAAGGTGGAATAGAAATCTCAACAGGTCCCAGTCTGCTTTGAAGCATCTTTGGAGGTTTTGTCTGCAGATCTTTGGAGATTCTGAACCACAGAACTTCATTTGCTTGCCTTCATGTTCCTGGCTAGAACGCCAGAAACTGCCCTCTACTTGGTTATGTTTAGATCCATCTTCTTCAGTATTGTTGTGAATTGGGGGGGGGGGGTCAGTCTGGGTGATGTCCCAAACCCCTTGTCGGTCTTGGGGTCCTGTACCCAGTGGGAGTTAGCATCTAAGAGAGGATGCTATTTCTGAACTGGTCAGGCAAGTTTTTGGGGGAGACAGTGACCTTAGCTGGCCACTTAAGTGTCCTCATCAACATCCCAAAAGAATGAGCTAGGTTGCAAAAGCTACAGCTAAGGAATGGTGCCCTCCAGGCTGGGGTGTGTGTGTGTGTGTGTGTGTGTGTGTGTGTGTGTGTGCTTTCTTCCACCCCACTCACCTGCCTGCTAAGTAGGAGAACTATAGTGGGAAATATGTGTGAGCTGAGCTTGAAAGCAGGATGGGAGCTGCATGTGCAGAGACCTGCTTGCTCTGTGCTGGATCCAAAGATCTGACTAATGGAGAGGCAAGATCTGTTCGGGTGTCAATGCTGGGAACACCTTCGTCTTATGCTCTGGTTGTGTGTGTGTAAATAAATCCAGATATCCTAAAGACACCACAGTCTCTGTTGACCTTCATTCCAAGGAAACCTAACACCAGGGCAAGCTCCTGGAAGCCCTGGAGTTTCTCACTGCTTGGAGACTGGGGTGGCAAACAAAAGCATTATTCGCTGGGATGGACAGCTGCTTTCTCAAGGCCAGAGAGCTTTGCCGTCCTGCTACCCGAGATCCTTTCAGTTGGGGGTGTCGAGATTTGAACCCGGGACCTTCGAAACAAACCTGGCATTCCCTTTGCCACTGACCTGCAGCTCCTCCTCCTCTTCCTCCTCTTCTTGTTCCCTCTCCTCAATAAGGGCCAGCAGCTTATTCAGCTGAAATGTGTGTTGATTAATTGGTGGGGGGCAATTTTATTCTGCAGGGCTTTTGGTTAAGGGCACACCTGTCTTTCATGATTCTAGATTCAGGAAGGTAGCCATGTTGGTCTGATGCAGTCGAAATAAATTTAAAAATTGTCCAGTAGCCCCTTAGAGACCACCTAAGTTTGTTCTGGGCATAAGTGTGCATGCGCATGAAAGCTTATACCCAGAACAAACTTAGTTGGTCTCTAAGGTGCTACTGGACAATTTTTTAATTTTTTTATTTATTTCGACCTGTCTTTCCATTTCAATTCAGGTGTGTTTCCATAGCAGGTAATGGAGAGAGGGGGAGGAAGTGTTAGAGATATCTCCTCCTTTAAGCAATAAGTGATAGCTTTGGTGTTTTAAATTTTAAGTAATATCTCACATATCTACATCTGAAAAAGACGCTTCCGTTGACTGTTTAGAAACATGCATATTAAATCTCAGATGATAAATGCACTAATATTCTTGGGAATGATTGACAACCCGGCTGTTCACCCATGATGAAAGTAAAAAATTAGTCACGGCGTTTTCATATTTGCATTTTGTCAAGTTCCAAGACACTTCCCGTGGCCAGACTGTGAAGCTGAAGAGCCAGAAAAACACTATTCTCCCTCTCTTCCGAGCGTGGCACCTCTTGGAAGATCTGGCTGCGTGACCTTAGAGATGGATTCAGAAGCAGCTCGGGTTCAGCAGAGTGCAAGCTGTGAGGCTGTGCTTTGATCCAGCAACTCCTTGGGGATTACTCAGGTCCCGGAGTTCAGCTGGCCAGTTCAAAGCAAAGCACTGCTGCGTGGCTGCTCAGGTCTTTCCTGAGCTAATGTGTGCCACACAGGGGCGAAACTGCTCACGTTGTCTTGCAAAGCAATCAAGTACCAAAAGAAGATGCAGTTCAGCGAGCCCCACCTGTTCCTAAAACCCACACATGGCAGCTTGCCATGGTTCCGAGGGCAACCCATGCTTATTATTATTATTATTATTATTATTATCCCACTGTCTGGGCTCCCTCCTCCTCTTCTCCTTGTCTGCTTCATCCCCTGAGTTTGGCTGTAGCAGCCATGCTTGACAAGGTACAACCCGGGTTTCCAGGATGATGTAGTGGTTAAGAGCGATAGACTCATAATCTGGTGAACCGGGTTTGCTTCCCCGCTCCTCCACCTGCAGCTGCTGGGTGACCTTGGGCCAGTCACACTTCTCTGAAGTCTCTCAGCCCCACTCACCTCACAGAGTGTTTGTTGGGGGGGAGGAAGGGAAAGCAGATTGTGAGACGCTTTGAGGTAATAATAATAATAATAATAATTTATACCCCACCCATCTGGCTGGGTTTCCCCAGCCACTCTGGGCAGCTTCCAACAAAACACTAAAATACAATAACCTATGAAACATTAAAAGCTTCCCTAAACAGGGCTGCCTTCAGATGTCTTCTAAAAGTCTGGTAGTTGTTGTTCTCTTTGACATCTGGTAGGAGGGCATTCCACAGGGTGGGTGCCACTACCGAGAAGGCCCTCTGCCTGGTTCCCTGTAACTTGGCTTTTCGCAGCGAGGGAACCACCAGAAGGCCCTTGGAGCCGGACCTCAGTGTCCAGGCAGAACGATGGGGGTGGAGACGCTCCTTCAGGTATTATAGACCGAGGCCCCCACCCACCCCTGTAGAAGTTTATTCCCCACCTGTTCCTGGACTAGATCTTTCCTGGGAAGGGGCCATTTCGTGGTCCTCCTCAGGTGCCAAAATGTCTTGGGCCAGCCCTGCTCTAAATGCAGATGGATGGACTGCATGATAGATGGGGAGACAGACCTGGTGTACGGCTGTTTCCTGCATCTTCTGAATGCCAGACATAAAAGCAAAGGTCACCTTGGAAACGTCCCGAAGTGATGGCGTGTGTATGTGCTTGTACCACTTTAAATCCATCCCCGTCGTTCTCTGCCTCGTGGGCATGTTGCTTTGATGTGCTGTTAGCCATTTCAGAACATGAAATCATTCTTTCTGACATTTGCTAATCGCCCGCGCGCTCCCTCCCTCTTTCCCCGATAGCGCAGCGCTCAACAATGCCAAATCCCTGCTGCGTCTCCAAACTATTGTGTTCCTAATCTCCTGGCATTACAGCATTAATGCCGCAGGATAATAATAACACCTTGAACAGGCCTCCCTCCCCCTCAGAGAGTCTATTAGCGCTTAATCTCAGCTATGAGCTCCTCCAGAAGGCGGCACGGGCGACCGCGCTGCGGCTGTACCGGCACTGCTCCCTTAGAAAGATAAGAGGAGCCTGCCGGATCAGGCCCATGGGAGTCCATCGAGTCCAGCATCCTGCTCTCACAGTGGCCGGCAAGATACGTGTTGGAAATCAGCAGGCAGGATTCGAACACAAGAGCCCTCTCCCCTCTTGAGGTTTCCAGCAACTTATTCAGGAGCTTTGCTGCCTCTAACTTTGGCGGCAGAGCAGAGCCATCGTGACTAGTAGCCATCAATAGTAAATTGCCTCCTTCGGAAAGGAGTTCCACAGTTGAACTGCACACGTCAAGTGCAAGTAGATAAATAGGTACCGCTCCGGCGGGAAGGTAAACGGCGTTTCCGTGCGCTGCTCTGGTTTTGCCAGAAGCGGCTTAATCATGCCGGCCACATGACCTGGAAGCTGTACGCCGGCTCCCTCGGCCAATAAAGCGAGATGAGCACCGCAACCCCAGAGTCGGCCACGACTGGACCTAATGGTCAGGGGTCCCTTTACCTTTTTTACATGAAGGAAGACAAACCTAGACAGCATCTTAAAATGCAGAGACATCACCTTGCCAACAAAGGTCCGTATAGTTAAAGCTCTGATTTTCCCAGTAGTGATGTATGGAAGTGAGAGCTGGACCATAAAGAAGGCTGGTCACCGAAGAATGGATGCTTTTGAATTATGGTGCTGGAGGAGACTCTTGAGAGTCCCAGGGACTGCAAGAAGATTAAACCTATCCATTCTGAAGGAAATCAGCCCTGAGTGCTCACTGAAAGGACAGATTGTGAAGCTGAGGCTCCAAGACTTTGGCCACCTCCTGAGAAGAGAAGACTCCCTGGAAAAGACCCTGATGTTGGGAAAGATGGAGGGCACAAGGAGAAGGGGACGACAGAGGACGAGATGGTTGGACAGTGTTCTCGAAGCTACCAAAATAAATTTGACCAAACTGTAGGAGGCAGTGGAAGACAGGAGGGCCTGGCGTGCTCTGGTCCATGGGGTCACGAAGAGTCAGACATGATGAAACGACAACAATATGAAGGAAGACTTCCTTTTAGCTGGCCTAAAACTTCATATATATATATATATATATGAATATATATATATTCATTTTTCTTTTTCATTCATTACATACATCTCAAATTCTTAACATTTACTATATATTCCTCCCTCCCTCCCTCCCCTCCAGGTCTTCCCCCAATCTGTGCTTCTGTTTTGTTTCTATTTTCACCCACTTTGCTAACTCTCAACAGAAAAAGTTATTAATAACATTACATCAAACCTAAAAACATAAAAATAAAATTAAATACACCATCCTATTTCACTATCTTCTAAACATTTTCTGATGCTAATAATGTGGATGTTTATTTAAATCCTACCATCAAGTCTATTGACTTTCTTTGTTTCTGCAAATATAATACGAATGGTTCCCAATCTTTTTCAAAGTCTCTGTTGTCTTTTTCTCTTAGTCTTTCTGTCATTTTTGCCAGTTCTGCATAGTTCATCAACTTCTCTTGCCATTGTTCTTTAGTTGGTATTTCTCCAGTCTTCCAATATTGTGCAATCAACATTCTCGCCGCTGTAAAACTTCAACAACCAGCTTCATTTGAGGTATTGAGAGAGAGGGAGGGGGGGGAAATCTCTATCCACTTTTACCATGCAATGCATGATTTTTTAAAACTGATCTCATGCCAGATGTCAAAGAGAACAACTACTACCAGACTTTTAGATGCCATCTGAAGGCAGCCCTGTTTAGGGAAGCTTTTAATGTTTGATGCATTACTGTATTTTAATATTTTGTTGGAAGCCGCCCAGAGTGGCTGGGGAAACCCACATTCTACTCATGTAAAAATATGCTGATTCCCAGACCGTCCATGGGCCAGATTTAGAAGGCGATTGGGCCGCTTCTGGCCACCGGGCCTTAGGTTGCCTACCTATGGCCTACTCCATGGTGGCCCCTGAGCTGTGGAACGGCCTCCCCAAAGAGATGCTTCTGGCCCCTTCTTGGTACAGATTTCAGCAACTGTTGAAGATGCACCTGCTCAGCCTCGCTTTTGACGCTTGAGGTGTGTATTTTTAGCACCCACCTTATTCTCGTTAATTTAAGCTGTTTCAAAATAGACATTTGGTGCTTCTGTGGTGGGTGGGGTCGTTGAGAATATAACCGTTGCAAATAAGTGGAAAAACTAAAATATTTGGGGATTGGGGAAGAAAGAGCTCCAGAAGGAACACACAGACACATATTGCCATAAAAAACACCCCCAAAATAACGAAGTGAGCAAACTGCATTAATGCTTCGAATGCAGAAAAAGTGTCTGAGAGAAGACAGAGCTTGCTTCTCAGAGAATAAATGATTTTGTAAGTGGTCCTTGCTTTTCTCCAGCAGGCAAGGAGATGGTGACCAAACGGAAACCAAGGGGCTAAAGTTTGTTCAGAAATATTTATTTCAAATAAAATCAGCAGGAGTTGAGGGGGGTGCAGTTTAGACTCTTTTCAGAATATTGTGTAATATCGTGCTGAATGTGTTTCCATTGTTGTATGTGTTTCCTGAGACTTTGGAGTGATGGGTAGGTAATAAGTTGTAATATTAATAATATTAATATTATTAATAATAATAATAAATGTTCTCTCTGTCCCCGATTCTCACACACGCACAGAGAGGGAGAGAAATAAATGAGGACGTTTTCATTCTCCCCTTAGCTGTTTCCACGCAGTGCAATTATTGCCGAGCGCCTGTTAGCAAGGGAGCTTTGTGTGAGTGCGCATGTTAATTAAATTCTTTTCAAAAAGCCAAGATCAGAATGACTATTCTTTGTAAAACAGAAATCCACGCTTTGCAGCTTTGAGAGAGACTCGTTTGCTGCATTGGGGTGGGAGTGAAATCCCCTTGCCTTGTTGCTGGAAAGGATAATTGCAGGGGCTGTTCTTGTGTTAGAGAGCCACAGAGGCACTTTCAAGGCTGCAGGGGGTCCTGATCCTGCAAGTTCTTCTTAGATCCTTCGGATTCTTATATT